CCCCTCCCGCATACAGGAAAAGACACTCAATGTCCTGAAGGTAGTCGTTGACTACCATGCGCTGTTTGTTGGCATAGGTCGACTCCACAGGTTGACTCAGGAGCTGCACCTACCCCTGTAAGCGCAGCCTCTCAACACACGCATGACTGATAAAATTCCGTGTCGAGCAAGTGTCATAATAGGCCCCGGCCTTGCCGTCACCGATGACTACCTCATTGACGAACATCTCACCCTTAGGGGCTTTAGCCAATGCCGTCCAAGAAGCTAGCGGGTCTGATCTAGACCACTCCTCTAGCTCCTCTAAGGACTCGAACGCATTCATCAAACAAAGGCTCGATGGGTCCGAATGTGTTTGCGGGACGACGATGGAGTCAGTAGCTTGGGCCATCTCTCCGGATGGTGAGGGTGTATCCACCACCTCGCCCCTAGTAGGAACAACTACTATTCCTACTGGCCCGACGTGTTTCTCGGAGCACAGCCAGAACTGCTGGCCACGTTGCTACCTACGTGAGCGGAGGATCCCAACGCCTGCCCCATCGTAGGCGGGATCTTCTCGGTCACCTTCTTATTGCGGCACTTGAATTGGTTGTGGCCATATTGACCACAGCGAATACAGGCCTGCCGGGTGTACCGAACTCTCCACACGTCCTCAGTGAGACCCGCTTTCTCCCATGGAGGAGCGTTGGGGTCAACTTGACTCGTAGACCTGGAACCTCTACGGCGTCTACTGGTCGCCTTTCCTTTTTGGACTGAGGCAGTGACTATTCCACCCCTTGAAGCTTCTACGTTGCTCACCTCTGTACCCACTCCCGCCTGGAAGTCGTCTTCTAATTCGATGGTAGATCCATCGTTGTCGACGAACAGGATGCGACCCTTCGCCTTCCAGTTGGGAGGTAGTGACTTCTTCCTTCCATCCGTCGTGGGTGTATGTCCATGCCCTATCTTCGCTTCTAGGTCTAGGGCCTTCTTACTGAACGAGGGAAAGTTGTGCATGTTGATGTTGGCCTCACCTGCCAATTGATTCCTGAGAGGCAAAGGAAAGCATCTCAGGTACGAGGTGAGTAAAACCTGGGGGTCGTCGTAGCAAAGGAAAGCATCTCAGATCAAACACTCTAGTGCGTTTGTGGCCTCTCTTACTGACTTGGAACTGTCTGTTGTTCAATGTCAGGATCGCATCAACGGCCTTTTGAGCCTCCTGAGGATCATGCCACCTGTCTTCCACCAGCTTGAGGAAGTCGTCCAATTTTTGGTTAACTGCCCAAGCGCAGAAGTCATTACCGTATCCCTGTAGTTGCACTAAACCACGCAACCATCTTGCTGCACTCCCCTCTAAATAGGAGGCAGCCACAAGCACTTCCTCATGCGGCAAGGTCAGTTTACACTTGACATAGACTTGCACTGACCTCAACCATGTGCCGAGGTCTTCGGCCCTCTTGTCACCTGAAAAAGGTTTGGGAGAGGCGATGGCAATATTTGGAACCCATTGAGTTTGTCCCGATACCTGCACCATTCCGAGCTGTGGACCTTGAGGCGCGAGCTGCTGCACTAGCTGCTGCACTAGCTGTTGCTGGGGCTGTGTACCGTGCGGCTGTGTAGGCTGCGAGACAACAGGCTGCCCGCTTACGGCAACCTGCGACGGAGGTTGGGAAAACACTGTCTGTACAGGAACCTGTACACTAGGACCTGCTGAGAACCCTCCTGTCAACGGCATGCCTAGGGAAGCGGCTTGGACTGATGCTGGAGTGACATATGGGGATACCCCAGTTACCGGTGGGACAAAAGGAGGAGGATGTACAACGGGCCAGGCACCGGGCCCAGACGACAATGGTGCTGCCTGCGCTCGACCGACCAGTACGGCCAGATTCTGCTGAATGTCCTGAAGGAGAGACATGTGGTGGTCCTGCATTTCTATGACATTTAACAAGACTGTCCGCAGTGTCCTCACATCGGCATCCATGTGCGTCGGGTCCATTCCCTCCAACTCACTAACGTCCGCTTGTCTCCGCTGCATCCTTGCTCTTCTTCTAATCATTCTTTCTTTCTCCACCTTTATCTCTCCTAGAGCCTTCTGCAGTTGTGCCTCTTGCAGTGCTGCCTGCTGTATGGCGACCTCATCGGGAGTCAACACTATGGCTGGCTTGCCATAACGCCAGTGGACTGACTCAGGGTCTGCGCTACCGTTGACCCCACGGTTCCCGAACTGCTGGCCTGGGAACTCTGCTGCGCAGCAGTTGCCATGGTTGCTGAAGCTGCGGCTTCGCTTGCGAACGCCCTGCTGGCCTCTGCTGCTGCTGTCTCTCTCTAAGCTGGCCGAACAGTAACCTATCACCCTCAGGTCCTAATGCCACGTGGGCAATCAGACGCCTAGCCGATCGCAAGATCCGGTCGTCCTCACTAGTGGTATCCCTGTCGCTCTTAAGCTACAAAACCGTACACAATATGCACTAGGTCACTCTTTGATGTCTACCGCAGCGCAGTGCACAGACCGATTTATAGTAAAAATTTATGAATCGGTGGCTGTGTCAGGGTCCAACAGGTAAGTTCAGATTCCTACAAAAGAAACTACTTTGACTTTGACTAGTTCACAAACAGAAAGCACAATGAACAGAGAACAACTCTAACTATGCTGTCTGTCAGATGTTAATGGTTGTACATCTAACTAACCAAAATAAAAACAAAATCATTTGTTGGGTCTGTTTGCAGAATGGAATCTTACCCGAACTTATCACCTGGAATCTACCCCTCCCTCAGTTCTTCCTGGATGTCTCTTGTCGTCAACGTCCCTGAGCAATCCGGAACAGCGTGCGTGTCTAAAGGTGTGCACACGGCCCACCCCTGTGCCCCGAGTCCTGTTGAGCTGGCCAGCCTTGCACCGTATTTATCCTCGCGTGCAACGAGCCCTACACCGACCGATTGGCTGATCAGGAGGCGTTTTTATGGACGGCCCCCGAAGTCCTCAGGAATTATTTAACGTCGCAAACAGGACGACGATGACAGCCAATGGAAGGTCCCCACCGGTGTTTATTTATGGACGGCCCCCATAGGGCTGGCCTGCCCCTCAGAACCCCTCTATAGCACAGCGAGCAGACAAAGGACAAAGCAGCAAAGCATGCGTGCTCTACTCCCGGTGGGTTGGCATGGTCCCCGTGACCCAGTGCTTCATCCAGGGCCCTTCAGATAGCACCGCCCTCTCCTTCCAGATGCTCCACGTGAAGACTGACGACTCTCAAGGTTGAGCACACACGACTCCTCACATGAGAGGACTCTCAAGACAGAACACACATCCTCACGGTAAGAAGTGTCGAAGAGGGTAGATAAGGTTAGGTGCAACATACCTCAAAATAGCTGCCCCCAACCACAGATATTCTCACCAGATGACCTGATGCCGATTGTGATGACCAATCGCTGCTTCGGCACAACCAGCATTAATACCACAGTGCCACCTCAGTATCAATCGCACATCAGATAATTCTCATCACACTGCGAACACCCAATATTCACCACATAGCCTTCCTGGCCATCCCCTCTCCACCTGGGTCGCCTACTTATCTTCGCCCTCCTCACTTCACACTCACTATGGTAGCTCGCCCAGCATACCGATGCATGTACCACATAGGCGGAAGACGAGCGCCAGATGAGTGCACCGTGCCACAGCTCCGATACCAAATTGCAAGGAAAATGAGCGATAGCGAACTTCAGAAATCAAACCGCATCATACACATGAGACCAGATAGTCGTGACCTCGAACCAATAGCAGAATTGCATCACGAGTTTCACCGAATAAGAGCACAGCAAAAGCTCATAATTGACTATGCTGGAATAGTCTCATCATCATCAACGAAGAACCAATGTCGATATCCCATCTGGCGCTCGGTGCCCAGACTACAGATGGCAGATCCTATCTAGCCTATCTACAATGCCGCTGATGACGTCAACAGCTCCCCGAAGTACGAGCAGATCTCGGCCAATGCCATTCGCCTCAAGCACCAGGTATGTCCCTCGTATCACTCACAACCTCGATCCCCAACTCACAGATGCCACTTGTACCCAAGAACCACCATGCGCCCCATCCAGCATACAGGAGCGCAGCTCGGCTATGGCTGTCTGCTCCTTCCAGCTCGCTCGTGAGCGTGTGAGCGCTGGCCAGCATTAGTGCACCAGCGCTTGCGCAGCATGCAGCCCTTGCCCGAATACCAAATGCAGAGGCAGGCCCTTTCTAAATGGAAGTGGCCTGCCTGCTGCTGCGGCCAGACTGCGCTTGGCCCTCGCCCGGAAGCTTCCGGTAGGCCCCGACTGGCTGAGCCCCAGTCCATACAGAACAGGCCCAGGTCCTGAGTTAGTTGCCCGTACCCAACTGCCCACAGCCTGTGTTCGGTCTGTATACGCGTCTGGCCCAGGGCGTACTTCAGATACATTTGCAAAATGGATGCCTGGGCCTGGGCGCTTGCAACCAACTGACACCGCACAACTGTCTGATTTTCCCCAGTTGCGAGATGGCCTGAGAAAGGGGCCCCTAGGTCCTAGTCGAGCCTGCCTTCACTTAGGGCGGCCGACAACACTGCAAACAGGGCCAAAGGGG